AGAATCAGATGAATCGATTGATCTTCGGAGTATCTGTTAATTTTATTCTCCAGTAGTAGTTCAAGTGTATTCAGGCAGCCACCTAACGAAAGCCCTGCGACTGAAATATACTTAACAATGGGGTTTGATATTTCACTACAGAGCAGTTCTTTAGAGATGAGTTATAAATATCCAGGACAGCAGCATATTAAAAGGAAAATACTGAAAACCTTAGGTTTCCTGGCCTTGGCATGTGTTGCTTTTGATCTGCCTGAGCAACTATTACTTTGTCAATATGAGGCGTGCACACTGACCAAGGGCAATGTATGCCCATGAATTTTTACTGGCTGCAAATGTAGCTCTGCACAGGCTAAACCACGCTGGCAGAATGTAAGACCTTATATGCATTTTCTGTGCTGTTCTGTACAACACGTGAGGAATGCTAATCAGCATTTGAAAGGAAACGTGGGCTTTCAAAGAAGACCCACCGAAACGCAAAGTGGGAATATATATTCCCCTACCAAAAAGTCCAGTATAACTTGTGATTCATCTGGAAGCAAATAATTCCCACTTCTTCCCCCCTCTGCCATTTCTAACTTAAAACATAATCATTCTCAAAGGATCAGGATCTTTCAGATTATTTTTTTTTCCTTTTACTAATGGAATTAAGAACATAAACACAAACAAACCTAAAGGCTAAATAAAATTGAGTAACAGTTGACATTTTCCTTCCCTGCATTGAATGTCAGTGTTTCGGGTTCATCACAGTTTGGTCACCACCACTGCAGCCTGTCCCAGAAGAATACTCAATTCACGTGGATCTCCTCGGCAGTGCTCAAATCCTGGTGGCACCATGACCTATTTTAGTTCCTGCCTGGAAATGGATACTGAACAACCGCAGGGCTCTGAGTGATGGTGAGGAACCGGGGGAGCATACAAAAGAAGGGGGGAAGGACTGCAGCAGTGCCAGCCACACTGCTCTGCCGCTGAGATGAAGCAGCTCTGAGACAGGTGAACAGACAGCTAGACAGGCAAGGTGTGGGGGATCGCCGAGACAAAGGAACTGGGGAGAGGAGAGAGAACAAAAAGAGGGAAAAATGGGACAGAGATCCTGAGATATTCATAAGAAAGAGCAGTTCTTGATCCTGAACACAGGCAGCTTGAAATCATCCAGTTGATGCAATGAGAGAAAGAGTAAGTTTATTTATTTATACTGTATTTTCATCCTAATTGGCACATCCAGCCTTCATCTAGCTGTGCTGGTCCACTTAAGGAAACACTGAGCCCAAGGTAACCTTAACAAGGTAACAAATCACCAGACAGTCTGTTTATTCGGAAATATCAACCATTTGAACTCCAACAAGCAGAGAAGCCAGAAGGACACCCATCCCTCATAACATGCAAACAAAACGAAGGGAGCAAAGCAAGCAGCATAATGAGCTTGGATTTTAAAATCGTATTTAAAGCTTGTGTAGGCTGTCCCCCCTCCCCACTGCTCCCTGCCTTGTGAATGCCTTTAGCACCCGTGCAAAACCTTGTCCTTGCGGTGCTGCCCCCTCGGGCACACACACAGATGAGCTTAGATGCGAGTCTGGCTGCCAGGTTGGAAACCTGAACAGCTCGGCTGTGATCTTTAATAGAAATATAAACTGTTTGGTGCCTCTTTAAAAAGAAACCCAACAAAAGCTTCCTGCTTGCTGTGAACAAGGTCTCTTTATTGAGAGATTTACTTTTTAATTTTGAACAGCTTCACGGCATTATCCTTAGCAGCAAAAAAAAAAAGGCTTATGATGATCCTGAGCTATTCAGTCAACTGCCTGGTAAGGCTTCTCACTGAAATTAGCTTCTCCTAGCAGCATTGCATGAGAATTGCTGGTTTACATCTCTTCCACAAGTCATTTCACATTTTTAAAAGATGGACAAAGTGCTGATTTCATTTGATCGAAAACAGAAAGCCACAAAAGCCACCACTGCTGGTGGAGACCCTTAATATCACCATTTCTCAGCACTCTTTGTGCTAAGGGTGCTGGCTCCATGTTTCAACAGCTCAGTGTTCCAGCCTTTGCTTTCTTTAATTTCTTTTTAATCTTATATGGGAAAAGAATGCTGGCTCTCATCTCAAAAAAAAAAAAAAAAAAATAAAAAAATTAAAAAAATCATTATACTAAAACATGTAGAATAATGAGTTGAATTCAATATTCAAAATGTCTTAAAATGTCACAACACTGAAGTATTTCACTTGTAGATGATAGAAATTTTTACTTGGTTCAAAGCCTGCAATTTAGTTTCTCTCTTTTAAAAACAAACAAACAAACAAACAAAAACTATAAAACCCAGGACCTTTTTAAAGGAAGCAGGAAAAATACTTTTTCAAACACTTTTTCATCCTACTCTGAATGCCAAAAGCTTATTTTCATTTAAACATTTTTCGACAGTATTGGAAACTGAAAAGAGTTTCTAAACAAAGGGAGAAAGTAAACTGCCTCATTTCATTATCTCCAAGAGTGAAATGGCAAAAGCAAACAAACAAACACCTGTGCCTTTTAACTGCACCTTTTATGTCATTGCAATACACTTCTTCAGGTTAGTGCTGAAGGCACCAGTAACTGATTTCTCATTGTTTTCTGTCCTTCTCCCAAGGCATGCCACCTTCTATAGGGGCTGGCATTCTATTGAATGCTGGAAAGCATAGGCATAAGATATCAAACCCAATAAAGTCGTTTATGTATTTTCAGCATTGTTAGTCTCATTTTTATTAGCAAAACAGGGAAAATTATTAAAGGAGGAGCTTGGCTCTAATCCGACTTTAGAAATTGCTGCAAAGAAACCAAGGTAGCTTTACATTAGTGTAAGAAAGGTGCAAGATCAAAACCAAGCCTCTAGCACAGCTCCATCATGACATGATTTCTTTATAATGAAATATAGCAAATGAAAATTAGTGGCACAAGAATTTTAATGCACCCCAGACACACATTTACAATGATTAAACAGATCAGTACTCGTAAAACCCAAGGGTCCAACTTCACAAACCTTTACTCAAGCAAGCAGTTTCACTGAAATCAATGGGATTATTTGCATATGTAAGGACTATTTATCTCAGTTGAGATCTGTAGGTTTAGGCCACACATTTCTATTTAGATCTCCTGTGCAGCAGAATACACACAGTTGGATGAAAAATGGGAGAGCGCTGGCACCTTGGAGTTAATTTTCATTTGTACCGGTACAGTTTTCTCCAGCCCTCTGAAGCATTTGATAGACTGGGCATGTTTCAAAATTGGAAATGTTGGCAAAAATACAAGTTTTCTGATGTGAAGAACTGCTACTCATGGATAATAAACAAAATCAATTCTTATTTGCATATTCAATCAGATTTTGGTTTGCATATTAAAGCATAAGATGGTAGAATTTTCACACGGTAGATGGATCCCACTCACTTATTCATGCATATATGCATCCACTAATCCTTACACATGCCAAAATCAGTGAGAAATACTCTCTGCTAGGCATTCATAGCACAAAAACACTGTCCCTGCTGCTGTTCTCAACCTTCTCTTTTCGTATAGTGTATGACAGCATTCTCCCACAGCTTTCTCTCAAGACTCTGTAATAGCCCCTGTTCTCTATTAGCCTTCTTTTCACCAGGCAAAGCGATAGTTTGAATTTTTGAATCATAATTTAAAAGGGATGCTGTCAACTGTATGTGTAAAGAACAAAAAACACTGGACCAGATTTTCAAAGGAGCTTCAGTGTGGACTTGACAATTTTGCTTGTAACTGTCACTGCAAAACTGAATGTATCTCTCACTGTTAATACTGTTCTTGACTACAGTTAAAATTTGTAGATTTAGACTATACATAGCTATTTTTCACATGCATCTATTAGGAAATGGAATTAAAAATATTTATATAGCCAGTACTATCCAAATACACAAAATTAATATTGTCCCATACATCATAAGTCTAACGATAAATGATAGCTCTGTAAGCTGTGCTCTAATGTGCTGAATGCTTGCAACATCTGTGGGACTGGAAGGCAATCAGCGCTGTGAGCTATTAGATAACAGGTTTGACTGTCTTGTAGCCAGTCTGACAGTCTGGATATCTAATTTGCATATAGAAGAGTGTCATATTCAGATACATTTTGTGCATTAAATTAAAATTTCAACTGGAACCCTGTGCTTGAAACCCTAGCAAGCTGCAGACAAGAAACGTTTTCATGTAATTAAAGGGAAAATTCATACAAATGATCATCAGAACTAAACCGCAATCTGCTGCAGCAGCCTTTGCTAGGTCAAGTACAGGGGACTGAAAAAAGTAGAACTGGTATCTGAAATAATCAGGTATAAACAGAAATAGTATATCACTCTCCCAGATGAGTGAAACACAAAAATCAACCATCGTGAAGGTGAAAGCTCATATAGGATTTCTAAAGCAATGCCAGCTCTGATCAATTGAAACGTGGTTAGCAGCAGGTTAAGAAGGTATTTATTTAACAACGGGACAGAATCTAATTGACTTTGCAGGAGAGGAAAGAGGGCATAAAGGCAAGCCAGCACCAGCTCATTCTTCTTTTCCAATCTTATGTAGCCCTTTTTTGAAGGGTCAGAAACACAATCCTATGCTCCCCAAGTGCGTATTTTGCTCCCTGTGAACACCAAGGGCATATTTGTGCCCATGTGCAGGGTCTCCCCTATAAAGGGCCAAGCTGCTGATGACCCTGGCTCGGTCCCTTCATGCTGCCCAGGGCAGCTGTACTGTTCTGCCTCTGCAGAATGCCTCCCCGCGTCCTCGCAGCATCCTGCAGTAGAGCTCTGCTCCCAGCTACAGGAGTCAAACCCTTCTATTTTTCTAGCTCTGAAGAATTTGAACTATCCATATAAATAACCAGAAAATAGGGGGTTGACCCAGTTATGCATCTTATGGCTCCTCACATTTATTTGCTAATGCTAAATGCAATGGAAATCACAGCTTTCCTCAAAAACAGGCAAGAGAGAGGAAGAGAATTTGCGTTCAGGTTCCTACCTGCTTGGTTAGTTGTCACAGTGACTGACACAGCTTGGTCCTGGCTGGGATTTTGCTTGGACACTCCATTCACTGCCCAGACTTCAAAGGTGTAGTTAGTGTGAGCCAGGAGGTCAGTAATGGAGACTTTGGTGGTTTTCAAGCCATTCTGCTGGGGACTGAAGTGCACACCGCTGCCACAGGACCGGCAGCGGCTGAGGTCACCGGCACCGCACCTCTTGCACACCACATTGTAGGAGACATCTTCCCGACCACCTTTGTTCTGAGGGGGGCTCCACTCCAAGTTCACTGATGTCTCATTGACATTGGAAATGAGGTTCTGGGGAGCAGACGGAGGCCCTAGAAAGGAAAAGTCCATGTTTTTAGTAAGTGGAAAAAGCTTACATAATGTCCTCTATTTAGGGTGATACTTAGGGTCCTGGGTGATACTGAGCATGTGCAACTCCCAGCTAAGTCAAGGACAGCAGAGACCACACGGAATTTTGTTTCTCCATGTTCTTAATAAAGGTGAAAAATTAACTGGTAAATCAAACTCTGATCTCTTCATCTGATCAATTAACAGTATTTTCCAACTCTAAATGAGCCTGAAAGCCCAGTATTACAATTAGAGTGTGTTCTTTTCACTTTCACTATTTGGACTTGTTATGAAAAACTTAACATTTACACATTTTACGTTCATTTTTCCATGACCTCCCAAGAAAAGCATCAAATGCACAAAACTCCTACTTCACTGGAGATTTGCAAGGTCCCCCATTACCTACAGGCAGATTTTCATTGAAATTACTGACCTCCCCTCCCAATATTTTTTTCTTAGGAAGAGAAGTGCAGTATTTTCCACACAAGTTGATGTCAGATGGCATTCAGTGAAGAATGAAGCCATCAACTGGGACATGACACTTTGGGATGCAGGAAAGACGGTTGAGTAGAAAGCTGGACACAGAACTAGGGCTTTAAAAGGCTGAGAATAAACGTTACAATAGGGGAATGGTGGAGAATGTGAAAGAAATGGAGAGGAAAATATGGCGAGCAGCTGAAAGAAAAGCTGATAAAAGCAAACTGGGCAAGAACAAGAGACCATACAGAAAGCTTGGAAACAAGGCTGAATCAGGGACACAACGTCAGCTCTTGCACCACAGGGACAGGAGACACTAAGACTCATAAATACGCTGCCAAAAAGTTCCAGCTGGTTCCAGCACAGGGACTATAGGATTTGGGAACAGAGCTGCCGGCAGCCTGGGGAGGACCTCCCTGGGCAGGAGAGGTGCAGGGCTGAGTGGAGGGAAGGAGCAGCAGAAGCAGAGCAGAGCCCACAGGAGGCAGCTCCTCCAGGCACCTTCAGCAACCTGCTGGGACTGTAATGGTCGGTTCTGCCCGACTGGGCAAACTGCCTCCAGCGGCGCCCTGCCTCACTCCGTAACACAAATCTTATTCGTATGCAGCGATCCCCACAGGCCTGAAACCAGTAAGAAAACTGAAAATGCAGAAGAGCTCATCCTGTGACTCTTAATCTGATTTCAGCACGGCTGAGGTGAGACACTTCTTGTACCCTTAAATTTAGCAAGGATGATTCCGAGCAACTCCATGGAACAGATGGGTATTTTGTACATCACAAAAAGCTCCATTGAAAGGCAGCCTATTCTGGAGCAGAGCATGAGGGCACTCTGACTACACACACAGTACTTTGAGACAGGACATAAGGTAAATACTGTATCAAATAGAAATGAAGCAAACAGTGAGAACAAAGCTTCCAAAACATAATGATCCAGACCAGAATACAGTAAAAAATAGCAGTCCTTAGTAATCACTCAGAGTTTTAAATACAAATATTATTACCTGAAAAATACTGGAAATAATTTTGTAGAAAGTCACAAATTCAACTTTTATTCAAGAGATGAGAGAGTTTGTTAAAGCTTCTTAAATTTTATAAAAATATATTTGATAGCTGGAATGCAAAAAATATTCAGCCACGTTTCCCGACAGAAAAGGAAGGGAAAG